TGATGATCTTTTTATAACCATTAGTTATTCCAGTGTTAATTCCAAATTTAATTCATACAGATATCAAATGTATGTTTTATTACTCACGCTATTTGACAAGTGCACATAAAATCCAGCTGCGCTCAACATACTAACATAGTCCACATATATAGATGTGGGGTAGCACCCTAACAACGACGGTGAATCCTAACAACGACGGTGAATCCCCTATGACGTCACGTATGATGATATGGTCGATGCTGACGTGATCACCATTGCCATAATGATGACCCTCGACACCAAAATCCAGTGATGTCATGGTGATGACGTGCATCGCTGCTGGGGTTTCTGCGCATGTGTTTCAACGTTCCTGTACCCATGCTACCACTACTAAATGATGAGCCTCGTCACCAAAATCCAGTGATTTCATGGAGATGACTTACATCGCTACTGGGGCTTATACGCATGTGTGTCAACGTCCCTGTACCCATGCTACCACTACTAAATGATGACCCTCGACACCAAAATCCAGTGATTTCATGGTGATGACGTAGATCGCTGCTGGAGCTTCTGCGCATGTGTGTCAACGTCCCTGTACCCATGCTACGACTACTAAATGATGACTCTCGACACCAAAATCCAGTGATTTCATGGTGATGACGTAGATCGCTGCTGGGGCTTCTGCGCATGTGCGTGAACGTCCCTGTACCCATGCTACCACTACTTATATTAGTATAGAATTATAATTACGTTTCTGTACTGTTATAATAAACGAGATAATAAACCACAACCAGTTTTTATTATATACTGTGATACTATATCACAAGGGGGAGCAGGTTCAACATGCGATCTAGTCGAAAGGTAGAAAAGTAAAAGAAAAAAATCCTACCCGATATCCCGCCATTTTAAAACCCTCATTAAATTATATTACGTAGTCATTTCTTACCTTCCTCTTCGGTTAATAAAATGCAACTGAAGTGATCTGGCGGCGTGCAATGGCTTACTAGTGTCACATGTTTAGGTGACTCAAGTTTTTCCCCAAATTATGCAATCATGGGTGATCTAGAACGAACACAAAAATAGGATTTACCCTATTCCGTTCACTGATTTTAGGCGAGTTGTTGTAAAATTGTTCTTGCATGGAAGCCTAGAACTACGATTAGTGGCAACGCATTTTATAAACCGAACGTCGCATTTTCTTGATTAGGATATACTGAATACAGAGAAAATGGTTTTTAAACGTAGCACACAGAACAACTACAAACAGTGCTATAGACTAATGTATTCTATTTCAGCCACATCGCTAAGTCGACTTTATAACACGACGCGTCGCTTTTTAGGGTTATTATTAGGATTATTATTAGGCTTTCACCTTGAAAGACTATTGTTTTTACTAGGGATTATTAAGCTTTCATATTACATATGAAAGCTAATTGTTTCTGTTAAGATTATTATTGTTATTTTTTTTTTGTGTTTTGTCCACAAATCGGATTTCTCAGAATCTAACCATAGGATCGTTCTGAAACTTTTACCTATCCCCCCAAAAAATGGGTGGTGGCTGTTGATTAAATATATTTTCAAAACGTTTTACGAATCCGAAATCACCGAATTTTACGAAGGAATGCATTTGACCTACAATGCTGTAACTTTGTGACTATTTGACCTATTTTACTAATTCTTTTTTCTTTGAGTATCTTGAAACATTTACTTCAAATCTGCAATTTCGGATTTTGGCATTTCGAAAATTCGTCGCTGTCATTTCGAACCGGAAGTTATTACCAATTTGACAACTTCTTTAATAGTTGTGCGATTTTCGTGAAATTTAGAATGTTAGTAGATCTTGCCAATGCGACTTCAATGATGTCCTTGGAAATTTTCTAAATTATCTCCCCTTGGTGAAATTAAGGATCAAAGTTTTCAAAAAAATCGTCGAAATATAGGTCAGAATGACCTAAAAAAAAAATTCGATACTAGACAAGTAATTACTGATTCGTACACAAAATATGGAGTTTGTCGATCGAACCGGAAGTGCCACCATCTTTAAACGTGAAAAATCAAAAAGGCTTTTTTGCTATTTTACTTACAGACTCGGGCGTCATATTTTCGGAATCCTGGAAGGAATGCCTAAAAATCTATCGGATCAGAATTTTGATTTCGGTCACGTGATGGTCACCATTTTGAATTGAAAATGAAAAATAGAAGCAATTTGAAGGGCCGGGACTTTGGAACACAAGAACTCTCCTTCTAATTAAGCTAGAATGTTCAAACTTGGTGTAGGCGTTCACTAGGTCAATGTCATGATTGAGTTCAAAGATGAGCATTTTTTGCCTAGGGTAAGCAGAGATAAGCAAGCTGATTTGTTGATTCTTTAGGGCACGATGACATTGGTTATAATGAATGGAGGGCGATGAAACTCTTGTCAAGCGAGAGGCTAATAGCTGGCCTGTTGTGTGAAATCATTGTATCATTTTTTGAAAATGTCCGGGGTAGCCGAAAAAAGGAGATCGAAATCCATAAAGTCGTATTTTTACGATTTGGGGCATTTTTAGAGGTCGTGTAAAGTAAAATAAAGCATGCATATACATATATTATTGATATTAAATATATCATATAAAAAACTAAACAATGAATCAGCTGTCATTGACAGATTTTATATTATAAGCATGGTCAGTGGAAGGTCAGCGTATTGTCTAACTTGAACTCACTGACTCCGTAACATTATTGTGGGTATGGTATAAGCTGAATTTGATGAGATGCACATATCTCGTATGACTATTTGGTACTTACAGTGTTAGACTTTGTCGTAACGTTACGGTCTCCATTCATCAAATCGTCGTTGGGGCTATAATACGATTTTGAATCAAGTTATTTATTACTGAGGGACTCAAAATTAGGTTTGATGTAGCTCTGCTCATTTACAGTGGCGAATTTAACGGGCTCATGGGTTCCAGCTCCCTCCTCTAGAAATTTCACAGCACCCGCATGGATTGTGGCTAATTTTGTGGCAGAATTTTATTTTTCTGGGGGAGGTACTTCTAAATGGCTCCGACACAAGTGCCTGAAATGCCATGAAATCACGTTTTCGGCCTCCAATTAAAATTTCTTAGCGGGAGAACCCCCTGACCCGACCCCCTTGCGGGGCTTCACGGTCGGTATCAGCCCCCCTCCCCACCACCATGGTTAATCCGGCGTTGATGTTCCCTCTTGTGCAGCTGCAAAAGAATGTACAAGTTCATTGCCTCATTGTCAAAGATCCCACTTTTCTACCCCAGTTCGGGTAATGAGGTCGAGCGTATATTGTATAGGGGATATTAAACAAGCAAACAGTATGGCTGATGTCTCCCGCCAAAACCCCAAAGTAAAAGATGACACATTAATTAATCGCACTTTCATATTTTTTTCAAAAGTATCGAGCAATCAAACTATACTGTAAATTCCATCACTCTCTGTCAGATAGAAATCAAGGTTATCTTGTCCCAAAGCATCGACCAATGAAATTGCCAAGCTGTAGCTCAAAATGTTCAGTCAAGACCTGATGAACATCTACACTAAGTTTAAACATTCTAGCTCAATTAAAAGCTGGGTTGTTATGTTCCAGTACTTCATTATAACCAAAGTTATCATACCCCAAAGCATCAACCAATTCAAAGTCCCGGCCAATCAAGTTGCTTTGCTTATCCTGACTAAGAGAATGCTCATTGTCGAACTTGGTCAAGGTAATATGGTCAAGGTACTAATGTAATGAAACTATACACAAAGTTTCATCAAATTGCTTATCTCTGCTTACCCATTTTAATAGTCCCCTGCCAATCGAAAAGCCCCACGACCCACCCACTCCACTCCCGTGTAATACATTAGGTTATAATTGTGTTACAAACGTATCACAAGGAGCATTTGAATATTCTCTCTGAGGCATCTGATACCACTTGTCATTGAGGTGTTCACACAGCCAACTCATTTTTGTTTGTTTGTGTTATCTTTATTCAGTATAAATCAACTAATACAAATGAAAAAAAGTACTTGGTTTAATGAGATTATCTTTTGAGAGTTGGTCATACAGGTATCACTAATCATAATTGCTCTTAACTTCAAATATATACACGATTATGTGTATTCTAAATATCAAATAAAACAATGATGATTTCTTTACAATAGCAGTACAACAAATTTATTCGCAATATTTTCCTTTGATCAGTTGATCAAAAACCTGATTATATTTACAATATATTCTAGGTCTTTGCTCTTTATTCCATTGGTTGGTTCAAAATATGATAAAAGAGGCTTATCAAAAAGTTTATATCATGTAGTCTTATATAACAAATAGAACAATGACATACAAGATGTTTCAAATCATAATCTATTTGCATTATTTATTTCAATAATTTGACCTGTGATATTCATGTATAAAGCAAAATAGTAAACATTGAATTTCATTCACTTTTATGTATAATATAGTATTAAACCGGTTAATTATTGTATACAACATTTATTTAATTTCATAGCAACATTTTATACTATTGTATTCATTGTAGTTTTTTGTCATTATTAGCCCAGTCCGTGCATAGCATTATGATGTGAAATCCCATTTCATTTCAATTATAATAGTCTTCATCTAGAAACAATATGTAAAAAACGTGACAGATTTGTCACTGTTGGAGAAAATAGGAAGAACTAAATCATTTCGGGACTAACATAATAATTTTCAATTTCATTTCAATAATTTCCTTGTGCGGAGAGATCTTTAGCAGTGCGAGGAAATCTGAGGACACAGAAATATAACATTAAAATAAAAACTAATAATAATCTATTAAGTAAACTTTATTTAATTCTGGCAGGTGGTTTCATTAGGATAAAAGGGCATATCATAATAACACTAGCTACAATTTCATGGAATCATAATTATTGAGTTTAATACTAAGCATCCATAAAATTGTACCTTGTGTTAATATGTTCCATAACTATAAGTGCCTATCAAAGAAGTCATATTATAATACAGTTTTTCTTACCCACATATTCCACCATGTATTGCAAAGCCATAGGCCTTCAACTTGTCATACCCATCTATGTGGATTAAATAGTTTGGACCTTTGTTGACATATATTCTCCTTGACAGTTGGTGTTTCTTGCGAAGGTTCACCCCTTCGGGGTCCATTAACTTTAATAAAGTGTAAACCTTGTCCCTGTAAGTAATACAAGCGTATTAATAGAAACAAAATAGATATTTTATCAATCCTTCCACATTCCACTCAGAAATATTTCATTTTTCATAATATAACATGTAATTGTCTGCAATATCACTTTAAATAAAGCTATTTCACACACACACAAGAAACAATGTATGCACCGATGTAAGTAAATGCTATCATAAAGGACTTTTTGTGTGTGTGTGTGTAGTGGTGCGGGGAGGGGGCGGGGCACATATCCCTCCACTCTTTCAAAAGCAGCCGTGAATTGTCAGGGACTACCTGAATCACATGCTTACTGAATTGTTTCCTGGTGATACTAACTAGAGCTGGCAATGTGGTCAAGCTTTTAAGTACTATGCTGTCCAGGAAGTTGCGAAACAAGTTATACACTGGAATGTAAAAGTTAAATAGTTTAACATTTAAATTTATTTTCGTTTGAGGACATGTATACCAAGTGTTATTGTTATCAGTTCAAATCTGTAGGGGTGAGGCTGCTTTCAAATGTTTGCGACAAATGTAATCAACTTTCGATGAAATTGCCTAACTCTGCTTGACCTTCATTTTATGATTAAGACACTACTAAGTTCAAGAATGCCAAGTTTCATTAACACGCAGTTGCATTGCAGAACATGATAGAAATACCTAGCAACACGTAGGCCATGTTTTGACAGGAGTCTTTTCGCTAAAGCCCTGTAACCAAGGCACCGTCCACTTCCAGTCAATTCCTCCTGAAATAAAAGAATTTTTTTTTCATTTCCATGCCAAACCATTAAAGTGGTTGGATTTAGAGAGAGAGAGAAATGGGGTTTAACGTCCACTCGACACAAACTAGGTCATTTCAGGACTAACATATGGTTTCAATTTAATTTCAATAATTCGCTTGCGCGTAGGGGTCTTTAGCATTGGGAGGAAACCGGAGTGCCCGGAGGAAACCAACGAGGTTGAGAAGGCGCCCCTATCTCCATGCCACATACGCTCACACCAGGGATCGAAACCACAGCCGCAAGCCAGAGGTGACCGGCCAGCTAGAGGTCGAAGCGCGGCACTCTAGACCACTAGGCCATCCCAACCCCCCCCCCCCCGTTGGATTTAGAAGCCTATATCTAAAGCATTGGTCATTATCAAGGCAGGGTTAACCATTAGGCTAATAAGGCTATAACGCAAGCCCTTTAAAAATATTTAGGCCTACAGATCTGGCTGGGGGTCGACTAAATTTTCTAAAGATACCATTGAAAATATCAGCAAATGTTGAATAGTCTTAGCTATCTGACACAACTAAAATCGCCATGGATATCTCAATCATTGTCTAAAAACTCTGTTGTTAATATTTTCATTGCAAAAGCCATCGAAAAACGCAACGTGCTACATAATAACTGTCTTATGACTATGTATTGTCATTTTGTTCCCAAAATTGGGTACTTCTTCAGTAAGCGACCATAAGTCTAAAGTAGGGGAGAGCGGGGCTATGGGGCACAGTAAGCCAGGCTTTGTAATTTTACACTGTTTTGGCAAAATTCAATTGTGACATCACTGAGGAATTGCCCTTTATAGCCCCCATTTGTCCTCCTAAATTCAATAAATTCATGTAAACTCATTGATATTTATCAGCCATTAACCGTTTTTGTGACGCAAAAGTGAATTTTTAGTGGACTGGTTAAACTGCTTGGCTACTCCAGATTTTGTTAGAGCCCACAAACTTGATATTCCAGGTGAAGGAGACAGTGATTGACTCTCATTAGAAATATTTTGTTTCATAATACTATCACATGTCTTCCTGTCATTTTCGATTTTCTGTCATGGTTGATGACGGGGCACAGTGGGACACACTTCAGAGCGGCACACTGGGCATAAGCATTTCGAGTTTAGCTAAATATCATCTGTCCATTTTAGAAAGAATCTGGGTATTTGAGCTGTTTTTAAAGAAATATTGGACCTAGGATACGAATCGTTACTGACTTACAATTCATAGGAATTTTTCGCATAAAGGATTTTTTTTTCTTCTGTTAAAGAATTTTTTATTCAATGTTATGTTGGGATTTTTTAATTTTCAGATGTGCATCTGTGTTCAAGTCTTAAAACAAATTCATATTTTGAACTAAAAGATTAGTTTTTACAGTCCTTATGAATTTCAGTCAATTCAGTGTGTTTTCTATGCATTTTTTTTTAAGAAACATACTTGATGGCCAACTGTGTCCCATAGTGTGACCCAGTGTACCCCACCATATGGGGCACATTGGGTCAAAAAAAATTTTGGTTTTACAATGATCTACACAGAAATAGTTTCAATTTATTAACTTTTTAACAGCACTATTAAATCAAACATATGACTGGCTTCAACTGAGTACATAGTTTGATTCTCTGTAGGATTTCACTTCTGGTCAATTTACTAAAAAAAAGAAATCATGCCCACTGTGCTCCGCTCTCCCCTACCCTTAATACGACCCTAGTGATTATATAACAGTAACTACAGACTGTACCGTGGGGTGTGGGATATTGCTGTTGATTCTCGTTATTCCCACTTTCTGTAAACCGGGGTCATTTCTTCACAAGATATGTAAGGTTTCGGAGGGAAAATTTAGCCTATTACGTAGGCTTCACACCTACTCTTATAGCAGCTGTTATAGACTCTTCGTCATTTCCACCTCTTCGCCTATGACCATATTTTTTAAGAATTCTTCTTATTTGCCTTTCACTGAATTAATAATAAACAAACGAAAATACATGTTTTTAGTCATTTTCTAGAAGAACATATTTCTTTGCTTTTGTGATTCAATATTCATTATAAATTTCCATAAAATCAATGCCACACACCATACCACACACACCATACCACACAATCACACCAAGAAAGGCCTACCTAATTGATATAGTGTGTCTTAGAAATAATAATATAGAGACTTCAATATTGGTGTATCCGCCAAAAAAATATTCACGAATGAGCTCATCACCTGTAATAATAATAAGCATAGATAAAAAAATCAAATGTCTGCTCGTGGCTCAAAAACACACGTTTTGACTAAAATGTAAAACATGATTAATATAAAAATGAGATTAAACAATTAAAATACAAGTTTTGCGACTTTATAACCAGTGACAAAAATGTAGGCCTACGTGTTGGATGAACCCCATTCCGAACCATGTCCATTGATGTATATAAATTCGCCATTTTAATTGTTTATACTTCCGACTATACGACCAAGATGCATTGTTTAATAATTACTCTCAAAACTTTCCTTTTTTTCAAATTTTTTTATCCTATAATTAGTTAATTTCGTGTGTAACAAATAGTTATTCAAAAATCTGGACAAACGTAAATTTCATATGCCGAAATTGATCAAATGAAATTTGCATTTTGATAGATATTGTTGAAAGATTTTTTGTTGCGCACGAAAATTAATACTTGCACTTCCGAGGCGAGAACACGAGAAGACGAGATTGTGACGAAGCGAGGGAGCGAGAACACGAGAGGACGAGATTGACCCAAAGTCGAGGGAGCGAGGGAGCGAGAAGTCGAGGTTTTTCAAAGGCGAGGACACGAGGGAGCGAGAAGTCGAGGGCGAGAAGTCGAGGGCAAGGGAGCGAGAACACGAGGTTTTTCAAAGGCGAGAACACGAGGGAGCGAGAAGTCGAGGGACGAGAAGTCGAGGTGAAAGTAATCTCGTGTTCTCGGGGCGAGATCCTCGTATTCTCGCCCTGTTTCCTCGCGTTCTCGCTCTCTCGCTCCCTCGCCCTCGACTTCTCGCTCCCTCGCGTTCTCGCTCCCTCGCCCTCGACTTCTCGCCGCGAGAAGACGAGATTCTGAAATGGCCGCAATAGGCTTCCATATTCCACAGACGCAGGCATGCATATTATAATAGAACATGTAGTATTGGTTACATTGGACTTCAGTGGATGGAAGATAAACCTTAATTATGTAGAGGGCATGGAGATTGACGATAACGGCATCGAAAACTCCCCGACTGATTTAACTCAACACCACGATGTAGACAGTTTAGTACAACAGTTAGAGAAGCTAAACCTTAACGACGAAGAAGTGGAGATGGACGATAACTAGATCGAAAATGTTTTTAAAAAGATATTATAATTTGTTTAAAAAAATATTAAAATTTTGTTTTAAAAAAAAAATATTAAAATTTTGTTTAAAAAAAAAATATTAAAATTTTGTTTAAAAAAAAAATATTAAAATTTTGTTTTAAAGAAATATTAATATTTTGTTTTAATGTTTGAAGAAATGAGAGAAAGGTAAACATTTAAGAAATAGGATGCATCAGGTTTGTCATCAACGTATTCGCCACAAGAAGACCTGTTATTATAACCGTCACCAGATGTGTAGATTATGTTAGAACCTCCGTCTACAAATCTCCGAGCGTGGCCTCTTCTTGTGCTCACAGTAGATTTGTTAGATAGAAATGATACGCCATCTCTGTCATTTAAGGGGACTAACATGAATACTGATGTGATCAACACAGCGGATACTAAAAACTCGACACCATGAACACGACGGTCCGCAATGACAGTGTCTCTTTTCTTCGTGTGAAAATCAGTTGGACGGCAGCCCGGTCCTGACGACCGGGAATCTTTGAACGTGCCCGTCTCGCGTGGCAGAGCGCCTTCCGCGAGAAGGGTCGTGAAAACGTACCGATAGAAGAGAAACCGTGCCGAGGCCATGCTGACGGAACTTGACGAAATTTGGAGGAACGAGGGTCCCTGGCCAGAAGGGACGCGAAGAGATGAAAAGCCGTGGAAACCGAAAAAATCGACTCGAAACCTACTTTTGCACGCCTCGTCCGCGTCTCTTTCGGCAGTCGGACGGGACTGAGCGAATTAGGCAGAGACGAGGAAGTGCGTCCCAGTGACCCTACTCGAGACCCGCGGTCATTAAAAATCGTATAAATAGGAGTTCATTTCTTAAATTGTCATTCAGTCATCAAACCACTCAAGTGAACAGATCTTAGCAAACTATTTAAACCACACACATCTAAGCGTACGAAAGATATTTAGAAAACAGAAGAGTATTTTTTTTAATTTTCTACACATTTCAATCCACTATCATCTTTAAGTGAAACGATTAATGAAAACGAATCTACAATTATATCTAACGTTATGGAAGTCCACCTGTTATTAGATCAGTTCACACAGTTGATGCAAGATTTTAACATCACTTATGCTTCCCGGTGTAATAACTACCGATGTCATAAACAATATTATGTTGAGGGATGTTCCACAGAAGCAGAACAGGACATGGAGATTGACGATAACGGCATCGAAAACTCCCCGACTCATTTAACTCAACACCACGTTGTAGACAGTTTAGTACAACAGTTAGAGAAGCTAAACAGTTTAATCCGACGGTTAGAGAAGCTAAACCATAACGGTCAACGCGAATGAATATTTCGTACCTTGGACGAAATAGGGCAATGGGTCGTACATTTATCGGTATACGGTACACTAAAAGCACAAATGCCGTGCTGAATGGTGTAAACCCGAACCCATGGCCCACCTAGAGTGCTCCCACAATTTTTGTAATTCGCCTAGCGTGACACATGAACCACCTACAGTGCCTAGCGTGACCCATTACAGGCCTAGAATGTCAACCATGTTCATACGTGACCTAAAGGTCCCCACAATTTTTATGTGTGGCCTAGTCTGACCGATAACCAACCTAACAAATTGTATGTGTGGCCTAGTGTTTTTTCGGTAATTAGTGTAGTTTTTTTTCGGTATTTACGTTTTTTTAAAAAAAAATTCGGTAATTAGTAACAAAAACGTTTTTCGGTATTTTTTTTTTTCGGAGTTTTTTTCTGTATATTTTGCACTTTTTCAGTATATAGTACAACAGGAATCTGGACCTTCTATCCGTGTATATATATGCATACACCACACCGAACTAAACAATATAAATATAAAAAAACGGCAGAAATGCAATGCCTGTTGAAGCCTAGATTTTACCTGCTGTCGATTTGGCTTTATTTTCTCAACAATTCGTAATGTCAGGTAATCTAACATCTGTCGATTCACAATCACGAATATTCACCAAAACCCGGTCGAAAATGTATCTTGAAACCCTTTTCTTTGACTCTACCTCCAAAAGTCAACAAAGATCGCCATGCGGAAGGGGGGAAAGGGAGAGAAAAACTAAAAATAATTTTGGCCCTTGTTTCGATGGTCTATTCACTGTGGATCGATTGTCTTTAAAGATCCCTACGCACAAGGGAATTATTGAAATTGTCTAGACGACGTTACCTCCACCTCTCTCTCTCTCCCTCTCTCAGATGTATGTCAGATAAATAGCGTGTGAGATGTAAAAACATTCTAAACCGTAGCAAAAGTACATCATTTCAGTTTGTTCCGATTTAAATTAAAAGCCTTGTGGGACATGCTGTGTTTCTGTTCTTTAACATAAAAGCTTGTTACCAGTCTTAAAGCTCTGTGAAGTAGTTTAGTTAATGAGAAGTGTTATCGGGTGTTCCAGAGAGAGTCGGCAAACACTCTGGCTCATGCACAATACAGGTTGATATTTTAAAGGATTATACAAAAGAACAATTCTTTCGATTTCATTAGGAAAATGTGAAAAAAGAGCTAACAACCCTATGACCTTATGGTTAAAATATTTAAATGGCACAACGTGATGTTATGGATCGAATCCTGTAGGGTTGGACGTGCCAATTGCTTTTATTTCATTTTTTTGTTTAGATACAAAAGGGCAATAATCAATCATTTGTATAGTTTCCCTACATGGTCTGTTGACTATAAAAAACAGCGGCTGCCAGGCAGGATACGCCCACATTTTGCAAGAGATAGAGAACAAGCTAAACAAAAAAACGATTTTTCGTACAATCAGGGGCCATAATTCAGGAAGTTACAATCCGATATGCGCAAATATCGAAAGAAACCAGGATGTTTGGGTTATAAACTTATATTTCAAGTTTCATCAAAATCAGAAGAACAATTGTCACCTCTAGAGGGTCCACAATCTTGATATACCATATTTTTACGCCACTTGAGTACGAGGGGCGGACATTTTGTCAGTCAGTTTTGATCCGATGTTCACGAAATTCGAACTCAACCATACTTAGGGTGTAAAGGTGATATATTCAAACGATTTTTTAAATCGGATAATAATTGTGACCTCTATAGGGACCTCAAGCTAAAAACGCGATTCTTCGTAAAATCAGGGGCCATAATTCGGGAAGTTACAATCCAATATGCGCGAATATCGAAAGGAACCAAGATCTTTGGGTTATAAATTTATATTTCAAGTTTCATCAAACTAAGAAGAAAATTGTGACCTCTATAGGGTCCACAACCTTGATATACCATATTTTTACGCTATTTGAGGACGATGGGCGGCCATTTTGTCAGTCAGGTTTGGTACGATTTTCACGAAATTCGCACTCAGCCATCCTTAGGGTCTAACGGTGATATACTAAAACGGTTTTTTAAATCGGATAAAAATTGTGACCTCTATAGGGCACACAAGCTAAAAACGCGATTTTTCGTACATCAGGGGCCATAATTCAGGAAGTTACGGTCCAATATGCGCGAATATCGAAAGGAACTGAGATCTTTGGGTTATAAACATATATTTCAAGTGTAAACCAAATCGGATAAAAATTGTGACCTTTACAGTGTTCACAAGCTAAAAACGTGATTTTTCGCACAATCAAATAATCCAGGAAGTTACAGTCCGATACATGCCAATATCGAAAGGAACCGAGATCTTAGGGTGATAAACCCATATTTCAAGTTTCGTTGAAATTGGTTAAAAATTGTGACCTCTAGAGTGTTCACAAACAATTGTTGACGGACGGACGTGCAGACGGACAGGGGCGACAACAATATGACATTTTGACAGATTCTGCGTTCAAAACCCGAATATAAATGGGTTACCTTGATCCCACCCCCTAGTAGCACAACGAGATGTATCAAAAATGTGTGTGTGTGTGTGGGGGGGCGGGGTGGATGGCCGAATGGTTAGCACGTGCACTGTATGGAGTATGCCCGTCTTCATTAGCCCAGGGGGGGTTGGATGGCTGAATGTTTAGCGTGCGCGCGCTGTATCATACAGTCTGTCATTGAGTCGACTGGCGTGATTTCGAATCCCCGGTTGTACGTGACAAGGAGTAGGGTCGTCTGTCCACCCTCGTGGGTTTTCTCCAGGTCCCCCGGTTTCCTCGCACTGCTAAAGACTCCTACGCGCAAGCGAATTATTGAAATAAAATTAAGCCATATGATAGTCCCGAAATGACCTAGTTTGTGTCGAGTGGACGTTAAACCACATCTCCCTCTCTGTATCAAAAATATTACCGCTAAAGGGGATTTTAGTACGCTTTCTTGATATACTTTTCCCGTTAATCAAACAAGAATTTAAAAAAAAAAACAAACCTCTAGACCACTAGGCCATCCCAACCCAATAGTATGACAGCTACTTTAACAGCGCCGGATTAAACACGTTACACATCTGTGCGCCCCCCACAAAAAAAATCGCAGTTGCGCAAAAAGCATGTGAGCATGGCCGGACCGATGACTGCGAATGGGACACTCCATCGAATTTTCAAAGTACCGGACTTTGGGGCCCCTTCAATCCATGGTGGGCCCGTATCGCGGTTGACATCCGATAATTCGGTGTAATCCGACGGTACCGCGTTGTACTTTCGACTGGTATCTGTCTCTTTTTTGTTTAATTAGCGTTTACAAGAAAAAACCAGATTGTCGCGTTTTGAGCTCTAGCTAGCCGGTCACCTCTGCCTTCCGGTCGAGGGGGGGGGGGTGGGTGGATGGCTGAATGGTTAGCACGGGCGCGGTGTATCATAAGGCCTGTCATTGAGTCAACTGGCGTGGTTTCGAATCATCGGTTGTACGTGACAAGGAGTAGGGTCGCCTGTCCAACCTCGTGGGTTTTCTCCGGGTCCTCCGGTTTCCTCCCACTGCTAAAGACCCCTACGCGCAAGCGAATTAATGAAATAAAATTGAACCATACGTTAGTCCCGAAATGACCAAGTTTGTGTCGAGTGGACGTTAAACCCCATTTCTCACTCGCCTTCCGGTCGTTGTTTCGACCATTGGTGTGAGCGTATGTGGCTTGGAGATACTCGACGGGTGATTGACATCCTGCTGTACAACTAGACTGTTATTTAATTCAAATCGGAAAGTTTTTGCTCTTTCCAACTCATTTTTCCATGTTAAAATCCCGTACATAGGCCAACCAACCCGTTATCACGACCTTCCAATAATACGGCAATTGGTTCTTCAGACTTTTTGCCAGTTTTATATAGTTAACGGCCCATAAAATTAAGAGTCCGTCAATTAGTGCGAAAGTTCGTTCTTCAGAGCTAACAGACCGCCATTTCCATCGTCCCTTCCCAGTACACATGACAACATCTATATAATGTTGATAAAATGTTATATTATTATAGTTAACGACCCATAAATCTAACAGTCCGTCCATTAGTACAAAAGTTTATTCTTCCTATGTTCTGGTATCAGACCGCCATTTCCATCGTCCCTAATTAGTTCACTAATTTGTTAATTATATATATATATATATATATATATATATATATATATTCACTAATCTGTTAATTTTTTACGCTTATTACTTTGTAAATAATTAATTTCCTTGCATCGTAACATGTAATTGTCAGAAATATCACTTCGGTGGAAGCGGACGTTAAATAACGGTATTTCACACACACGACATAGCGATACCTCGGTATCTAGAAAACGAAGTTTTTGTAAATTAGCGTGACGAATATGAAAATATTATCAATTCCTCACCCCTCCTTAGAATATTATTATTAAGTAACCTATCATCTTTTCTGAAGAACATCTTCTCTGCTTTCACTCCGGACATTAAAGCTGAACTCCGATTATAAAACTACAGAAATAATTAAATAAAAAAAGGGTTACGCCCAAAACAACCGCCATACTGGTTTTCAATTTCTTGAACTAACATGGCAATCGCTTTGGGCGTACAAACACATAGGCAGGCCACACCCACTTCCAGTATTAGCCGTGTCAACCGAAGTGTCCACATCCGGTAATTTATAGTCAACTACCAATTACCTCCTGACTGATTGAATTTTTTCCACTATCAGACCACAGAAAATATTATTGCTACACAATTATTATGTCTGATCAGGTATATATTATTTTACTAATTAGACGAAATAAGTCAACCACGGTGTACTTTTGCTTTAAAAACAACAGAGAAACTACCTTACCCAAAACAATAACAAATCAACCAGCACCAACCAATTGTTTCTTATTTCGTGAAATTTTTGCACAACAGAGTAGAAACACCAAATACTTTTCTGCGTCATAAAGTCTAGTATTATCGTTCCAAAATATATCCAAAGCAGCAATAAAACTGTAGCCCTCTCCATCAAATAAGTATGTTTTCACTTCCAATTGTTGTTATAATGGCGATCAAGGGACATAACTTATATTTTTCTGGACATTACAATAAAGGGACATTGTCAATCCATTATCGGAGGATGCAATGCAACATATCAGATAGGTATGTTTTCACTTCATAAAGTTGCAAACTTCCATGTTGTTGGCATAACTACTGTTTTACGGACTGATCTATAAATAAGGGAGAGATTTGATAACTTATATTTTTCTGGGCATTACAATAAAGGGACATTACTTATCCTTTATCGGCGGATTCGATCAGTTGACATGTCTTTGTATAACGCTTTAATTGTTTTACCATCGCATACCTGTTTTGTACATTTCAAGCTGTTTTGCTGCCCCTGTGACAGAAGAGGGAAGTGTGGAAGCTGCGTTTGTGGAAAAGCTAAGAAGCCATGTATTAACTGTAAAAATATTACTTGCAAAAACAAATCCATAACTAAGAAGGTGATAAATATTTTATTGTTCAAAGAAGCAGTTTATTCTCTATTCAAATATTGATATAATAGTAAAATCCAACATTTGTTGAATATATAGGTCTAATAGTAAATTAGTAATACAGGTATGTGTTTTGTTCCAGACCAGTAAATCAAACAGCTCCAGAAATACGAGGGTTACAGAAGAGCCAACTAGAAATTATTATGTCTGATCAGATATACCTTACCCAAATAGATGATGATATAGATGGAGATGTCTCCGATCACGAATATTATGATAATATGTATGTTGTGCACGCTTAAAAGTTTTAGAAAAGCCATTATATATGTCTGTTTCAAAATAATAATAATAATAATAATAGTTTCTCTTTTAGAAGCGATATGCGGTTACAAGACAAGAATATCCCGAATGTAAAAAGATTCATTGTCTCCGAAAACAAGATAAAGGATCTCATCAGTAGAACTCATTGTCTGGATTGTGATTGCAAGATTGACAGCTCATCTATTCGTGAAAGCAAGAAAAAGGTTGCTGCTGGTAGCATGTATAATTACCACTGTGAGGTAGGCACAACCACATTATAAGCTAATTTCTTCAAAATTAGTAGAAAATCATTTTATTGCATGAAAAAATTTTGATTTTGATATTCACAGAATGGTCATGATAACCACCGGGTTTCTACAGAATACTATGCCAGTAAAAGTGTTACTGCTATCTTGATACAGCTGATGATACTTTTACCTGGGTTGACATGGGAACCAGTACACACTGCGTGCTCCTTCATCAGACTTGGTATTGGTGGCAGATCACAGTTCTACAAAAATCAAATGGTTTTCAGGGAGTCTATCCAGACATTTTTTCAATAGACATATGGAAGGTATCACAGCATCATTTAGAAGTTGTTGATGTAAGATATGATTCACCAGATAGGTTAGAAAATGAAGCACTAATGAATATAAAATATGTAATTACATGTATTTTTTATTGCTTCTATCTATCAAGGGACATAACTACAGTTTTAGGGGCCGATCTATAAATGAGGGGAATAGTTGATAAAAACTATATCATAGTGATAAATATATTATGTAAGAATGAATCATTATAAATGTATGGCCTTTGCCCTAAAATATACGCAGATATCGTTGCCAGAATCTAAAGAGCGTGTTACTGGGTTTTGCGCGAACAAGGCAACTGCTGTTTTTATGGAAATAGAAAGCCGTAAAACTATTCACATGGAAATAAGCGACTCCAGAGAAGTAGAAAGAAAGAGTCCTCGCATGGAACGATATCTGGTGACCAAAGGCATAAGATATATTGTAGAACTTGTTTCGGATGCAAGTTCAACTATCATAAAAAATATTAGGTAAGATTGAATTATTGCAAATGTATAGCCTTTGACGATATTTGTTGCTATGTTTAAATGAATAAGAAAGTTACTTTCTATTTTAGACTCATCAGAATTTCGAAATATACACCACAGTCTTGATATCTGGCACAAGGCAAAGTCTCTAGCAAAACGAATCGCTGAAATGGCTAAAAAGGCATAAAACAGATACATCATACCATGAATACGGCCCATAATAAACCACTTGTGGTACTGCTGTTCAAAAGCACAAGGGGATGCAAACAGATTAGTAAGAAAATGGTTTGGCTTGCTTCATCATATAACCAACCGACATGATTGGCTAATTGGCAGGTATGAATCTAATTGACAATTTCATTAGTGCATAACATAGTATTCTTTTTTGAAAAGGTGGTTTTCATAAGCACGATTTTGTAATGTATGCGTGTTTATTTACAACAATGAAAAAACAAACTGACAGTTGATGTCTTTCAAATCAGAAATATCTTAGCAATTCTAATGTACATGTATTATATTCCGGCCACATCGTTACTTTACTCGTGCTTATATATAGGTGCAGACATGGCAATATTACACCGACCCCAGAGGGGAAGAAATGGTTAGAGGTTTCAAGTACAGCCTATAGAACATTCACATAGATTTCTGTTTGAAAATATTTTTATATTATATAATTTTATAATCAATTATCTTAAAGTGTTTTTTTTTTTACAGACATATAATTGAGTATAAGCTGTTTTGGGGATCTATGTCCTATTACACACGATGTCGTCAAACGTGGGCAATTGAAAATTTTTATTCAACATACACTCTTGTGGTATTGTCCAAAACGATTGCCATTCACCTACGATTCTTATACCATTAGAAACCAGTTCGCCATCATAGATCACAATACACACACCTCAGAAAAAATAGACTTGGTAAACCAATTGTTGGAGGTCAGTTTTCAAGAAAAACAAAACAATGGGTAACTTATGAAACGTTAGAACAAAAAGAATATCCATATATACCAGGTAACAAATATCCTTTACGTTGACTAGTTTCAAAAAATAGTTTCATAGAAAACGTACATGTGTTCTTTTGTATTTTTCAGAACTAATTACCGAATGCATGCATGAGCTTTACTTCGCGGCAGAATCAAGCTATTGTCGTGGTAAACGAAGTTTAGAGTTGGATGAAATCGCACCCAATTTATCCGGTCAAAAGCATACTAACTCGTCAGAGTTATTTTCAAAAATGAAAAAAAGAAAACAATGAGGTACACTTCAGATTTGTTTATTCTGAATCTGTATTAGCAGAATGATAACCAGAATATACACCATTTTCATCCCGAAACGTGGCACGTATAGCCACACATGCATAGGATGGAAGGGGTCGTCGTTGTCCTTGACCTAGTTTGCCGTGTTGCCACAATATAAAGTTTCTGTAGGCTTGATTTCGAAATATGTTATTTCTAAAATCTGGTTCAAGATTAGTTCGAAACGACCAATTGAAATGAAATGAAATGAAATGGGGTTTAACGTCCTACTGTTTTGCTCCGAACTGGGCTAATGAAGACGGGCATACGCCATACAGTGTGCTATGAGGGAAATTTTGCCCGGACAGCGGCACTACGGCCTACTCTTATATCGAATTCCAACTGTCAAGGGATCTTTTACGTGCACGCCAATGTGTACACGGGACCTTGTCAGCCCCTCCGTCCTGCATCACTGACAAACGACCAATTGAGGATGTTTGCCACTCCGAGAACATCTCTCCTCAAACTCACATTCACAAATGTTGCATTTGATGTGATACATTTGGGACCATTACAACAAATGTTCATTCTGTCATCTTCCAACTCTTTGCATTTTCCGCATATACAAAATTGTGGTTTTTCAATTATTTGAGGTGCGACTGACTCTGGCATTATGAAATTTTTGGCATATTGTGGATTGTCTTTTATTATTTCTTTCATGATGCTTTTGGTGCTGGCGTCTGGTAAAGTTTCGACCTTTTCCTGGTGAACTAATATAAAAATGTAGCTAAAATAAATTGCAGTAGATTATAGGATTCGCATCCAAATTGTACAAAAAAAATCCACAAATTATTATGATCAAGATTATTGAATATCTGTCGCATTGAGTATAGAACAAACCCTTACGCAGAGCTTAGTAGCCAATGCTTCTTTCTTTCTTTCCAGCTCCTCACAGTTTGCTTGTAGTAGTTCATTTCTAGTTGGCTCTTCGGTAACCCTCGTATTTCTTGAGCTGCAAGCTGCATATGGTTGAAATGTTTTTCTGTTTGATTTACTGGTCTGGAACAAAACACATACCTGTATTACTATTAGACCTATATATTCAACAAATGTTGGATTTTACTATTATATCAATATTTGAACAGAGAATAAACTGCTTCTTTGAACAATAAAATATTTATCACCTTCTTAGTTGTGGATTTGTTTTTGCAAGTAATATTTTACAGTTAATACATGGTAATACAAATAAAGCGTTATACAAAGACATGTCAACTGATCGAATCCGCCGATAAAGGATTAGTAATGTTCCTTTATTGTAATGCCCAGAAAAATATAAGTTATCATATTTCCCCCTCATTTATAGATCCGCCCGTAAAACAGTAGTTATGCCAACAACATTGAATTTTGCAACTTTATGAAGTGTTGTTGCTTTGATTATGCAAAAAAAAAGAGAAAAAAAGAAAAGAAAACCCCCAACTGATCGAATCCTCCGATAACGTCCCTTCATTGTAATGTCTAGAAAAATATCAGTTGTGTTATGTCCCTTGATCGCCATTATAACAACAATTGGAAGTGAAAACATACTTAATATTTGATGGAGAGGACTGCAGTTTTATTGCTGCTTTGGATATATTTTGGAACGATAATACTAGACTTTATGACGCAGAAAAATATTTGGTGTTTCTACGTGCAAAATTTTCACGAAATAAGAAACAGTTGGTTAGTGCTGGTTGATTTGTTATTGTTTTGTGTAAGGCAGTTTCTCTGTTGTTTTTAGAGCAAAAGTACCCCGTGATCAAAGTCATGGTGTATTCACACGAAAAGGCCAATCAAACTAGTCAACGCCTAATAGTCGTTTATAGACAATGGTGGCTTAGAGCAAAATTTAAAGTATACGAAAATTATTATTATCATAAAATGCGGTGTTAGGCGGGAAGCCCGGAGTGTCGGAATCCGTCTTATTGTCTTGTTATTCGAGGCTAAATAGTCAACAAACAAAATGGCGTCTATCGGATAAACGTATCGCTCGGCAGAATCTAAATGGTCGGTAAAACGAACAGTAAGTTTATGGCACACCCACCTAACATCTGATTATTTCAAGTCTCTATGACCACGGGACCCAGTAGAGGTGCTAAGGTGCAATAGCGCAAGCAACACAGCCATAGTGGCATATTTATATTATCATCGACCCCTGTTTGTTGTTTATTGGTAGACCTACATTTACATGTACTTGTATTTGCCTATCTGTTATATAACACGGCTGCACGCCGCCAGTTAATGACAGTTAACATTGCATTAAATCGAATCACATGACACTATACAACACGCTAGCACGCCGCTGGTTCAATTCAGTTGGAATTTATAGCTGAAGTGGAAGGTAAGAAAAAACTACATGACAGTTAACTTAGCTTGTGTTACCCCCCGAATAATATCAGACCCTGGATAGTATGGATAATTTCAACTCTCTATAGCTTCGCAAAGTACTAGGTGCGCGAAAGTGCAGTAGCGCAGAATATTTTATAAATGTAAAGCTTGTTTACAGCTAGTAAATAAACCGCCAGCCCGTACAGAAGTTGCCTATTATTCTAACCTATCTATGTCAAGGAATACCTGTGTATCAAGCAAATATTCGCCAGTTCATATATAAATATCGTACAGTGTTGTTTTGGGCATCATTTGTTTTTACATAAAGAGAACAATATATATGTTGATACAGTCAGAAATCGCTGAGTAACTGGTAGGAAACAGCACATCAAATCGATACTGATTACTAGTGTTAGCGTACTCGGCGACCGATAGAATGACGTAGATAAAGGCCGGTCTACACTATCAAACCTTTGTTGGCAAGGAACAGTGCCTGGTGGTAAATGAACGCTTTAATGTTGTCCGGGCAAAATGTCACCCATAACACCCTGCATAGCGTTTTACAGTCTTCAGATCAGTAGGACGTTAAACCACACTACATTCATGCTAGAAGATTGGTCTGGTGCGGTTGTTTAGTAAGTTTGGTGATGTTTGTTCTGGTTCGGTTGTATTTGGTGATGTTTGTGCTGATTCGGTTGTGTTTAGAAGGTTTGGTGATGTTTCTTCTGGGGGGTTGGGTGGCTGAATGTCTGTCATTGAGTCAACTGGCGTGGTTTCGATTCCCCCGGTTCTACGTGACAAGGAGTAGGGTCGCCTGTCCAACCTCGTGGGTTTTCTCCGGGTCCTCCGGTTTCCTCTCACTGGTAAAGACCCCTACGCGCAAGCGAATTATGGATATAAAATTGAACCATATGTTAGTCCCGAAATGACCTAGTTTGTGTCGAGTGGACGTTAAACCCCATCTCTCTCTTCTCTCCTCTCTTTCGATGTTTCTTCTGGCTCGGTTGTGTTTGGGGATGCCTGTTCTGGTGCGGTTGTGTTTGGTGATGTTTGTTCTGGTTCAGTTGTGTTTGGCGATGTTTGTTCTGGTGGTATTTAGTTTAGTAAGTCTGGTAATGTTTGCTCTGGTTCAGTTGTGTTTGGTGAGTTTAGCGATGTTTGTTCTGGTAAGTTTGATGATGTTTGCATACAAAGATGGATAGTGACCAAACCGAAGGTTGTCGTCGGATCCTCTCTTCCCCTCTTCGGGTAAACATAATAAACCCAACAGAATAGTGTCGGCATATCCTCATGGTACTATTAAAAACCCAACAGAATAGTGTCGGCATATCCTCATGGTACTATTAAAACCCCAACAGAATAGTGTCGGCATATCCGCATGCTACTATTAAAACCCCAACAGAATAGTGTTGGCACACCCCACGATGTGTTGTATCATGTATTCTACTATTAAATGTATAGTATGGATAATTTCAACTCTCTACGACTTCGCAAACTATTAAGTGCACGAAAGTGCAGTAGCGTCGAATATTTTATAAATGCAAAGCTTGTTAACAGCTAGTAAATAACCACCGTACAGAAGTTGCCTATTATACTTACCTATCTATGTCAAGGAATACGTGTGTATCGAAGCAAATATTCGCTAGTACATATGTAAATATCGTACAGCCTTGTTTTGGACACAATTTCTTACATAAAGCGAACAACAAAAGAGTAGTGCTGGCATACCCTACGATGTCTTGTATCATGTATGCTACTATTAAATGTATAATTTTGTTCCAGCTTGTTCAAAATGTGGCTTTGTATCATAACCCTAATAGTCGGTTACTGGACTGTAAAATGGTTCTTGGAGAGGTTAAAGGTAGAGCATTATGGTGAAAAGTACGTCTTTATAACTGGATGTGATACAGGTTTTGGAAATATTTTAGCAAAAAGATTAGATGGTTTAGGATTCCATGTTATTGCTGCATGTCTAAAACAAGATGGTGCAGATGAATTGAAAAAGACGTCATCGGAACGTCTTCAGACACTTCAATTAGATATTACGTCTGAAGATGATATCAAGTCTGCACTCACCAAGGTGAATTCAATTTTACCTCCCAGTAAAGGTAAGTTTAATTCATAATCCGAGGCGTGTAGAACCAAAATGTGCCCAAAGGAATCAATCCGGTAGTACCCTAACTTCAGCTTATTTGGAAATGAAATGAAATGAAATGAAATGGGGTTTAACGTAATAATGATCTTTTATATACTCTTCAAAAAAAAAGTAGGGGATATTGAAATGCAAATACCTATGCCGGTTGCGATATGATAAATAGTCATGGACATTTGACATGCTTTGAGAGTATGTTCACAGATGAAGAACTTATCGCCCCAACAGAACAACTGAGCTGCACTTGCGACGCGCAATAGCGCCATACACGTGGGAGGGGTTCATTGTCAAATTTGACACTTCAAGGAAGGGTTGATGAAAACTGCCACGTGCTGGTTTATCTATCCATGTTTGCTTTCCTATCGGTTCTTGCATAAGATTTACTGTTTAGCGTATCTTTGCTTTAGTGTGTTACGTTTAATTTGATTGGGAGACGTGTTCGTCAACGTCAACCGACAACACTGCAAGAATTGGCCATGGCACTGCAAGAGGAGTGGGTCAGATTGGCCCAAATCGTGATTGGACGATTGATTAGGAGCATGCCACGTCGTATTTCTGAATGTATGGGGATTGGTGGGGCAATTACTCATTATTTAGACAAAAATCAAAAGCGTCCATTTTCACTTTTGACAGTGTATCTCTGCGAGTGAAATGGGGCAGTCAGATAAGCCGCCCATATGAACTGTGTATGTTCATGTGTATCCAATTGGCCTGTTATTAACATAAACTGGTCACCTCTAATAAAACAGCAGTGCATTTCCGCAGTTTTGTATTGTTTCTGAATATCCCCTACTTTTTTTGAAGAGTATATTTATATTTTTATAGGTCTATGGGCCGTTGTAAATAATGCCGGTATAATGGGTGCATTTGGACCTTCAGAATGTTTAAACAGAAAAGACTACATGGAGGCAATGGATGTTAATGTCTACGGTTTAATTGACGTCACTAAAATGTTTATACCACTGGTCAGAAGGGAAAGGGGAAGGATAGTAAATATGGCCAGTGTTGCTGGTCGTTTATCGGGTGGGTTTCCTATATACTGCGTCACCAAATATGGAGTTGAAGCCTTCTCCGATAGCTTAAGGTAAAATAAATGTAGAATGTAGAACTTTTCCTCGGTGTATAATTCAGGGTTTAGGTTGGTGGAATGGTTTAGGGGTGTTGTGGCCATGAGTTTCAACCCGATTCGTATTATTATAAAGGTTTATTACCTGGGGTATAATAAGGTTATCTATTCGACCGTCTAACCCTATTTTTGATCACCCTCGATATCCCCAGTGGGCTCATTCCGTTCAAGTGTACTAACCCCTGGGTTCATACATGGGGAGAGAGAGAGAGAGAAATGAGGTTTAACGTCCACTCGACACAAACTAGGTCATTTCGGGACTAACATATAGTTTCATTATATTTACATAATTCGCTTGCGCGTAGGGGTCTTTAGCAGTGGGAGGAAACCGGAGGACCCGGAGAAAACCCACGAGGTTGAATATGCGACCCTACTCCTTGCCACGTACAACCGGGGATTCGAAACTACGCCAGTCGACTCAATGACAGACTTTATGATTCAGCGCGCGCACGCTAACCATTCAGCCATTCAGCCATCCAACCCCCCTTCATACATGGGGAAGACACGTATTCAAATATATCCGCTTTTGATGATTATGCTATTTTTATCGACCAATAACAGGATACGCTTGGTAGCATAACGACTTGCCAATGCCTGTTTTGACTCGCATAAAAAAAACATCTTTCCCATCGAAAAGATGTTTCAGGACACCTTTTTGGTGTGCATGCCACTTCTTTTATTTTAAAAATTTCTTGCAAACTTTCTCCTAACCGAGCGAGCAAGCCGCCATATTGTTGTGAGGGTAAACAATGAGGCTAAGACTTGTTTTTAAAACTGTTTTTGATTGGTTCGTAGAATCAAGCTACGATCATTGACGGATAATTTGAAATGAAATAAAATGAAATGGGGTTTAACGTCCTACTGTTCTGCTCCTATACTGGGCTAATGAAGACGAGCATACGCCATACAGTGTGCTATGAGGGAAATTTTGCCCGGGCAGCGTCACCATCGCCTACTCTTATATCGAATTTCAACTGCCAAGGGATCTTTTACGTGCATTCTAATGTATACACGGAACCTCGGTTTTTCGTCTCATCCGAAGGACTAGACAGCTGTCCTTGTCAGGCCCTCCGTCCTGCGTCACTGACAAGGGGGAACCACGCCGGAAAATCTGGATGAACTTTCTCGGCCAATGCAGGGATCGAACACCCGACCTCCAGGCTAGCCAGATAATTTGAACACGTAAATAAACATTGATGAACCCAGGGTATATTGGAGTAGAACGCATAAAGACCAATGGGGATGTCGAGGATGATTTTTTGTTATCTGAAATGAGGACATTTCTCAAGACCAGGGAAAAATAAATGGACTCACAATAATTAATGTAAGACGGACATTACTGTTTCCTTTATTTTATTTTCCCGCGTGGTTCCTCCTTGTCCCTGGTGGACTGGTTTTGCAAGGAAAAACGTATAGTCTTTCGGATGAGACGACAAACCGAGGTCCCGTGTACACATTTTCGTGCACGTAAATGACCCTTGGCCGTTGGATTTCGATATTAGAGTAGGTCGTAGTGCCGCTGTAAGGATAAAAAAATCCCCTTATAGCACACTGTATGGATTTTCCGACGTGGTTTCCCCTTGTCAGTGGTGCAGAACGGAGGGCCTGACAAATACAGCTGTCTAGTCCTTCGGATGAGACGAAAAACCGAGGTCCCGTGTATATATTGGAAGGCACGTAAAAGATCCCCTGGCAGTTGGAATTCGATATAAAAGTAGGCGATAGTGCCGCTGCCCGGGCAAAATTTCTTCATTAGCCCAGTATAGGAGCAGAACAGTAGGACGTTAAACCCCATTTCATTTCATTTCACACTGTATGGCTTATTACCCCAGTCGGAGCAGATACAGATAATTGGAACGTTAAACCCCATTTCATTTCATTTTCTTTTTGTATTATTCAGACGCGAGGTATACTGCCAGGGCATTAAAGTGATCATCTTGGAACCCGGAGCCTTTATAACAAATATAACGAATCCCACGTTAATCAAGGAAAACTATCAGAGAACGTTCAAGCAAGGGGATGCTGCATGTCAACAGTATTATGGCGAGGATTTTATCAATAAACGTAAGTGCTCACCAAATAAAAAAAACCAGTATTATATTGTAGCTCAAGATATATTTCGCAAAGATTGGTCGAAAAGTTGAATCGACGGAACATAATAGTCTTTGAATTGCTTGGCGCGACTATCTACCAGTAGCAATCAGCAACCATGTCCGTGATACAAAATCGACCAATTGAAGAGAGATGACTGTACAAGATGACAACCCTTTAAGGTCACGCGTAGTGACGTTCTTTTGCGCCTTTTACTCATTTTATGCCTCCGCGTACTATTTTATGTACACATTCACACAAAACATCTAATTATGGTTCATAAACCTTTATATTTTTCTAATAATTGATGAAATTGTTTCAGAATTTAATTTGCAGAAGAAAACAAAATTAATATTGAGAGCTAATTCATTCATCCAGGTGTTATCCTACCAATCGGATACATATCACTGATGAGTGCCCCCTGCCTTTACGCCAAATATGAACCAAGTGGGTGTGTCCACCTAGGTCATGTTAAGGATCGATAGATCTTTGATGAGTTCGAATTTGGTGCCCATCAGACCTTCCGTTCTCAAGTTAGGCCCATTGTCTTTTAAGCAAAATGTTACATATGGCACAAACTTGGTGGACCCTCTAGAGGTCACAATGGTTTTTTTCCGACTTAGCTGAATCTTAACATATATGTTACTTATCAAACGCTCTCTGGTGAATTTCTATTTGATGTACATTAGATCTTCCTATCCAGATTTATGCTGCCTTTTCCGAAAACCTTGTGAACGCAGTAAAGGCTATATTTTCAACATTGTGGCCATGAGAGGACGCATCTTATTGATAATCAATGTTCCGCGACCTTATGTTCCAGAGTAATGCCCCTTGCACTAAAACTTTGTGAATGTGATACTGGGTACGGCTTTTAACCGATCTTGTTTTGATTGGGGTGAAGCGTTGAGTTCATTAGAGGATGAACCCTTCCGATATTCAGCGTTCCGCAACCTTTTGTTCTGGAGTTACCCCCCTTTTCCTGAACACGATAAATTAACAGATTTATTTCTAATTCAATGCGAAGCATTTGTACAATGAGAGGACGAGACCTATTTCCCAGTTCTCCATCCATCTATTGCATTGATGGTAAGGGAGGGGGGGGGTGATCTATCATTGAGTCAAGTGGCGGGGTTTCGATTCTTGGCTTGAACGTGACAAGGAGTAGGGTCGCCTGTCTAAACCCTCGTGGGTTTTCTCCGAGGCCTCCCGTAGGCGCAAGTGAATTATTGAAACACAATTGAACCATATGTTAGTCCCGAAATAACATATTTTCTATCGAGTGGACGTTAAACCCTATTTCACTCTCTCTATTCCACGGAAATCGTTTGTTGCTATTTATCTTCTTTGCCTTTCTTCGTACGGACTTTTGAGTTTGTTTACTCAAGACACATCTATATGGCAATATGAGAGATTAATAATAAACATAGTGCGTTCTACGAAGCGATTAGGGGGGGGGGGGGGTGAATGGCTGAATGGTTAGCACATGCGCGCTGTATCCTAAGGCCTGTCATTGAGTCATGGTTTTGGATCCCCGGTTGTACGTGACAAGGAGTAGGGTCGCCTGTCCAACCTCGTGGGTTTTCTCCAGGTCCTCCGGTTTCCTCACACTGCTAAAGACCCCTACGCTCAAGCGAATTATTGAAATAAAATTAAACCAAATGTTAGTCCCGAAATGACCTAGTCTGAGTCGAGTGGACGTCAAACCCTATTTCTCTCTCTCTCTATGAAGCGAAAACCCGAAGACAATCCGACCTGATTGACCAAACATCTTTTATTTCCATTTCAGGCATCAACAACCACCTGAAGGTTTTGGATTTTCCAGGGAATATCGATGCGGTGATTGATGCCTACGAACACGCCATAACTGCCAGATATCCGAAATATAGATATCTTTGCGGGAACGATGCCAAATACTTCTACAGATTTTTATGGACTGTTCCAGAATGGATGTCTGATTTTATTTTGTGCTACAGTTCTCCTCGGCCTGCAGGAATCAAATAAGCGTTACTTCAGCTGCGCCCGTTGCGTCAGCCTTCAATCGCTCTACTGTGTCATTTATGAAGATCATCGCGAAATCTTATATGTTGTCAGCTAATACCAGTGCCAGTGATGAAGAACCATTATCTAAGTATTTAAGACAAGAAAGGGGGGTTGGGTGGCCGAATGGTTAGCACGTTCGCGCTGTATCATAAGGTCTATCATTGAGTCATTTGGCGTGGTTTTGATTCCCAAATTGTACGTGACAAGGAGTAGGGTAGTGGTTTCGATTCCCAGGTTGTACGTGACCGGAAGTAGGGTCGCCTGTCCAACCTTCGTGGGTTTTCTCCGGGTCCTCCGGTTTCCGTCCTCTGCTAAAGACCCCTACGCGCTTGCGAATTATTGAACCATGTGTTAGTCCCGAAATGACCTAGTTTGTGTTGAATGGACGTTAATCTCTCTCTCTCTCCATTTGACTTTAAACGTCTAGACGCACAATGGATATTTTGTTCTAAAAGGTTGGTAAACCCAGGTGTGTTAATCATATTTATATTTTATGTTGCTATGTTTATAGTTGTATGTCTTCTACTATTCATTCTAATGCTTGTAATAAAGAATTGAAAACCGCATTTAGCGTGATTATAACATTAGTTATATAGTATAATGTCCACAATACACTCAGTACACATTCCCAGTCAGACGTTCAAATGGTGAAGGGGCGTTGTATAGCCCAAATGTCATTACATTAAATTGACATACACGTCGTGGTTCCTGGTATTTCACTCGCGTCTACACCCGCTTTCCCGTACCCACTCGGAATCTAATCAATACGGGGAATACGGTAATTTTATTTAGCTTAAGTCTCCCAGTTTCGTCGGCGCTGCGGTCAAGTTGAAGCTTCAGCATTTAATTCGCCATTTTATCCAGATAGAATTTCCTATTTGGATTGTTTGTTTTTTTTAACGAATCTTGCTTTCCCAAATTCATTGACGATGATGCAAATAAGTGGTGATGCTTCATCAACAATCCTTTTAGGTCCGTTGCCTGATTTTGTGTGGACCCCCTTCAAGCACATTCCTACCAATCTAGAACATGGACTAGATGTTTAATAGTTGGATTGTTAGACACGCTGGAAACTTTTGCTTAGTGTATGTAAAATACAACCTCGATCAGTATTCCAAAATTAGTTTATTTGGATACAATAAAACGTCGTGGTAATTGACATTTAAGAATGTGATTTTTGCAAAATAAGATAGCAGGAGAAAGTCTAGTGGCAATAATAAAATCAATATCTTTGAATGCCTAGACCTTACATATTATGATATATTGGAGTTGTTCGATCCCTGCATTGGCCGAGAAAGTTCATCCAGATTTTCCGGCGTGGTTCCCCCTTGTCAGTGATACAGGACGAAGGGCCTGACAAGGACAGCTGTCTAGTCCTTCGGATGAGACGAAAAATCGAGGTCCCGTGTATACATTGCAATGCACGTAAAAGATCCCTTGGCAGTTGGAATTCAATAAAAGAATAGGCGATAGTGCCGCTGCCCGGGCAAAATTTCCCTCATAGCACACTGTATGGCGTATGCTCGTCTTCATTAGCCCAGCATAGGAGCAGAACAGTAGGACGTTAAACCCCATTTCATTTCATTTCATTTCATTTCATGAATTACACTGTTTTGGCTTTAAACTGGGTATGTTAATAATACGTCAATTGAAATTTGAGATTGGACAGGTAGATCGGCCGCATCATTTACATTGTTTCTGTCTTGCATGGTTTTATATTTTTGTGTAACTACTACATTCGTATATTTTTCAAACGATAATAATGTTTTAAACCCTTTGATTACTATCCGAAAGTCCTATTTCTATAAACTGGAAATTTTTTAAACAGTTTTATTGAATGGACTAACACCCACATATCTTGTAAACACACAGCTGATTATGACATAAAGTGTTGTTGTTGTTCTTAGTGTTTAACGTCCGCTTCCACCGAAGGTAATATCGTAGACAAGTTGTCTTTCCTGTGGGAGGAAACCGGAGTACCCGGAGTAAACCCACGAGGTTGAGAAGGAGCCTCTATCTCCAAGTCACATACGCTCACACCAGGGGTCGAAACCACAACCGCAAGCCAGAGGTCGAAGCGTGACACTCTAGAACACTAGGCCATCCCATCCCCCCGTGACATAGAGTGTCTGGACATCTCAGGACTGTACAGCCCTGTCGACCCCCCCACCACACACACACACACAATATACACAATCCTTATGTATACAATGTGAGCATTAAACTATGTACACACTACCAAAAATTTTGGTAACATTTTTGGAAACATCTTGGCAACACACCTGGGCAAAAAAAATGTGGCCCTTCAACACACGGCAACAGTTCGACAACATGTCGGCCAACTTAACAACCATTCCTTGCTGGTAAATGTTATCTACATCACTTGTCTCTCAAGTAGATCATGTGATTTATTGCCCATTTCTGATTGGACAAAAACTCGGCAACATCATTAGCATCTCGGCAACAAAATTGATCTTGTATTTATTTCGGCAACATTTGGACAACATGTTGTCGAATGTTATCAAATGTTTCCGAACTGTACACACGGTCAACTTTTTCACCAACATCGAACCAGGTCAACATGTTACCGATTGTTTCCGAACTGTACACACTATGACTTTTTCTTCACCAACATTGCAACTGGTCAACATGTTGCCGAATGTGTCCGAACTGTACACAGTATCAACTTTTTCACCAACATCGCACCTGGTCAGCATGTTGCCGAATGTTTCCGAACTGTACACACTATGATCCTTTTCTACACCGATATCGCACCTGGTCAGCATGTTGCCGAATGTTTCCGAACTGTACACACTATGAACCTTTTCTACACCGATATCGCACCTGGTCAACATGTTGCTCAACATGTTACTGAAAATGTTGGCAGTGTGTACAGAGCTTTATTTATGGGAGTATAAATGTGAGACAGGTGAAGAAACTGATATTACTAAATTGACTGAAACTCAAAATCTGTCTACAGATCTATATCAAGAGAAACAACTACAGAACTCTAATAACACACCAAAAAAATAAATATATGATGATGAGAGAGAGAGAGAGATGGGGTTTAACGTCCACTCGACACAAACTAGGTCATTTCGGGACTAACATATAGTTCAATTTTATTTTCATAATTCGCTTGCGCGTAGGGGTATTTAGCAGTGAGAGGAAACCGGAGGACCCGGAGAAAACCCACGAAGTTGGACAGGCGACCCTACTCCTTGTCACGTACAACCGGGGATTCGAAACCACACCAGTTGACTCAATGACAGACTTTATGATACAGCACGCACTTGTTAAACATTCAGCCATCCAACCCCCCCAAATGATGACGAAAACCTTGCCCAAGAAACAATTAATACTAAAACACCGGAAAATGGAGAATACGAAATCTACCACTACAAGAGGAATGACTGGTCGTCCCGCTGTGATCGAAGAAAAATAACTAATTTTGCCGAGAATTTTAAGATATAGGACAGATTTAAGAATACGGTACTCTTAAAAAACGTTCAAATAAAGGTGTTCTAAAATCTGTTATTGCTATTTTGATCTTTTGTGTCGATAGATATTACATTTGTACCCATTTTTGTGAAAATCTCAATTTCGATCAAAATCAATATTTTCATTTATTTTGTCTCTAGTCCAAAATTAGATTTTGTGCATACCGACTCATTGTGATATACGCGGTCACATATTTAAACAGTGTAATATTGTAAAGGTATATTATATTATATATTATGTAAAACCTGACTTCTACCACCCCATAATATATATATTAGATATCATTCATACAGATTTCCCTGAGTATTGTAGAGACTTAATGTTAAAACAATATGCTATTATAAATCTTATATTCCTAATACTTGGTGTAACATTATTAACAGGCATATTACTTTTCTTCAAAAAAGAAAAAAAAATATGTATTTTTACAATAAGTAATGAACAAATTGAACCAGACCAATTAACAACTAAGTTCTGTTATAACAGTCTTATTAGTAAATCGTTCGTAGAACCAAAATGTATTGTATTTGTGGAGAAAATAGTGATAAATATAAATTGGAATATTGTATGGAAAAATGTATTTTTAAGTCTTAAAGACCCGCAAATGACAACATGTGATTATAAAGTTGTACACAACATTATTTGGACTAAATCAAAATTATTTAAGATAAATAAAACATTAGATGACATTTGCCCAGTGTTTTAGGACGAAACTGAAGATTTAATACATATGTTTTTAATTGTGTAGATTTACTATATTTAAGAATGATTGTTAAAGAAATGTTAAATGATTTACTAAAGCTAGCAATGCCAGTGAGCAAGATCCAAAAACATATTTTTTAATTGGGCTACAATCAAAAAAACAATTCTCAGTTGTACGAACTAGCCAACTTAAAGTAGCTAAGTCTCTAACTCAATATCATCCAAAGTCCTACACGTTGTGAATACGAATTATTTCTCAGTTCAAATCAACATTGATGCTGTGATCTTACCAGGAAAAAGCTGGCTTCTGATATCGAATAATTAAGACAAAATAAACATTTTACCATTGGTATACGAACCGTGTATTGTGCGTTTCAGCGTCATTTGTAACAAGTGACCAGAAAGAACGAGGCTAGGCACATTCCACAACTCATGTCAAGCTCTGACGCCATATCTTATGGCGCAGTAGACTGGAATAACCAGACGCTAGAAATTGCTATTCGATTGAGACTCATGTCGTATTTCTATACAATCAGATTACAGTATTATAGGCGTTGCGACACATTTGGGTCAACTTCTAGGTCCCAAATATTAGCGACTTGGCTCCTTTAATTTTATTAAAAAGTTTATTTTGCCGTCATTGTATATTTCCTATATGTATTGATATATAATCATTATTTTGCCGTCATTATATATTTCCTATATGTATTGATATATAATTATTATTTTGCCGTCATTATATATTTCCTATATGTATTGATATATAATTATTATTTTAAAATATTACTCCGGGTACTTTTATGCGCTAAGACAACAACCTGTCACCATTGATGGATGAAGGAGAATGGTGGTCTCAATTCCTAACTCCGATTTGCATCCACTGTTGGATGGCCGAATGGTTAGCGTGTGCGCGCTGTATCATACGGTCTGTCATTGAATCAGCTGGCGTATTTTCGATTCCGTGGTTGTACCTGACAAGGAGTAGGAGCACCTGTCCGATCTCGTGAGTTTCTCCGGGTCCTCCGGTTTCCTCCCACTGCTAAAGATCCCTACGCGCAAGCGAATTATTGAAAATAAAATTGAACCATATGTTAGTCCCGAAATGACCTAGTTTGTGAACCATATGTTAGTCCCGAAATGACCTAGTTTGTGTCGAGTGGACATTATACCCCCCTCGCTCTCTTCCTCTCTCTCTCTCTCTCTCTGTTAATGGTCCTTGACAGAAAGAACCTGCTTTGTTTTGAGTGGAAAATAATTCATGCAAAGCTCAATTTACATAAATTTCCGTTATTTTCTGATTTTCTAAAAGAATTAACCCTACTTCCAATTTCTTCAATTAATGCAACGTTTACATTTTAAACTT